TGACTGGTTCCCTTTGCATGCTCATTTTTGGTAACTTTTTCTATGGTATTTTCTACTTGTCTTTGTTTTTAGTAATTATTTTATTTGCTTTTGGGTGTATCCTGATAATTTTTTATTGTTTTGGAAAGAGGCACTTTTTAGTACTATGTACTATGGATAAATAAAAAAGTAATTATGAGAAGTTATATTAAAGTATAATTAACAATCATGGAAAGCAAAATCAGATTTTGAGGAGTTTATTACTTTGGTTTAGAATTACAAAAAATATGTACATTGTCTGTTTCATGTATATTCCAGTTTGAGGAACATCATGTTAACCTTTAGTTTGTTATAACTAATTAAGTAGTTTTCTCAGTCCTTGAAATCTAGCCATTCGTTCTTTTCTGTTTGCTTTGTGAATGACTTTCCTGTACTTTCCCAAAACATCTTTTGGTTTGGTCAGTGTACATAAAATGTGAATACAGATGGAGACATTTATGTTGTAGAGCATCTTCCAGTGGAGAATAGCAGGCTATGCATCAGGGTATATAGAGTTTGTGGAAGCCTTAAGTACTAAACTACCAAGTTAATGCAACTGAATTATAGAGTCATACTTAAAACACAGTATCAGTAACTGGATTAGGGAAGTGTGTTAATTTAGAATAGGTAGAATGATGCTTGTTTTTATTTTGTGTATCACAGATTAAAATATTAAATATCAACATACACAGCAAAATTTTATTTACATAGGAACATTCTCAAGTACATAAAATATGTTTTACAGGTAAATGGATTTTAACTTGTTTTTCTTTTCTGCTCCTATATGATCCATATGCATCAGTAATCACAATACTAGTGAGTGTGTTGGGGCAGAATTCAGAATTTACTGTTGTGAAGGGCATTGTAATTCATGACTACTCCCCCCCCCCCGGAATAATTCTGACATCCCCACCTGACACAGTACACATTGCTACATCTCCTTTTTAAAAGTCACGCTAAAGATGTACTTTTTCCTAGTAGTCTTAGATATTTTATTAGCTCAATTCTTCTGCATTTGGGGATCCAGAACAATTTAGTGTATGCTCATTACAAAGAGGAAGAATAAAGTTGTCATTAAATCTGAAAATTGTTTGGTATAAAACTGTACTGCTTTGCCTATGATGCATGTCCTTTGCTCCTTACTGTGACTCCTTCCTAGTGAGGCTTTACTAGACTCAGGCTATTGAGGACACTGGGATAATGGAAATTGGTTTCTTTATGTTAAGCATTTTTCTGTAATTACAAATTTATATTTACTTCGTTAGGCATTTTGATGGGTAGCAGATTGGTGCAGCCACTGTGGGAAGCAGTATGGAGTTACTTCAAAAAATTGATAATCAGAAACATTGAAATTAAGGACAAACTAACAGTAATCAGAGGGGTGGGGGAGGGAGTGAGGGGAAAGGGGGAAAGGGTTTTCAGGAACAACTGTAAAGGATACACGGACAAAACCAAGCAGGGGTGGAATCAGGAGAGGGAGGTAAGGATGGCTGGGGTTGGGGGAAGTGGTGGTGGGCAAATGTAGACAACTATACTTGAACAACAATAAAATAATTTTAAAAATGGTGTTTTGATCTCTTTTTGCACTCATACCTGCAATTCATCTTGATGGAATCATTTATTCATTTATTAATTCAGTAAACATTTATTGTATTACTATTACTGCCAGGAATAATGTGTTTCTTTATCATTGATTATGTTTATTCTCTGTTATTGTTTACTTTTTCATTTCCTTTTCAATTGGGTTTTAAGAAAGATTTTATTTATTTAGTTTTAGAGAGGGGAAGGGAAGGAGAAAGAGAGGGAAAGAAACATCAATATGTGGTTGCCTCTTGCATGCCTCCTACTGGGGACTTGGCTCGCATCCCAGGCATGTGCCCTGGGAATTGAACTGGGAATTTTTCTGAGGACCGTGCTCAATCCACTGAGCTATGCCAGCCAGGGCTCAATTGGGTTTTACTAAGTTCGTTTATGTGAATACGTGGTCTAAGCCACACGTATTAATTCCAGAGAACTAGAACACCTTGAAAGTTTCTATTTGTTCATTTTGGCGCTTTGAAAATTGGCATTACACTCAAATCCTGAGTCATTCCTCTGGGAGTGCAAAGGTCCAAGGCTGGTGTTGGGGTGGTGGGTACAGATGTGTAGAGAGAATTAACATTTGTGTGATGACATAACAAGTGATTACAGTGAGACATTTCATCTAGGATCAAATTTGCCCCATTAATGAGGTAAGACCTTGCATAATACTCTACCTGATATCCCGTTAACTATAAGGTTTTCCACTCTGGCTGATGGAAATTGGTACTACTTCTAGCCCTCTGCGAGTCTGAGAAATGCTTTAATTTTTCTGCTGATTCTTTTGCCTAGGGTAGTTTCTTCACTTGTATGATCAGTAATCAGTCATTACTCAGCTGACATTTGAAGGATGCTTCTGTAGAGCTCTTAAGTTCTTTCTCTGTGCATTACTCTTTTTTCTGTTGCTTTATGCTGTTAAGTCCATCCACCTTTTTTTCCCCTGGTTCCCAGCTTTCTTTCCTCAATTTAGGAAGCTCCACAGGCCCCACTTTGGTTCCCCCTCTCTGGCCTCTGGCCTGGAAATTCTCTTTCTATAGCAATCTGACTCAATTGTGAGGCTTGCCTTGTTTGTTACCAATGTCTAAGGGATAACTGTCTTTTTTCCCTGATATTTAATGTCTTGGAAATTATAATTTCATATATTTTTTCTATTTTATTGTTTTCAGTTAGAGTATAGACCTGGTTACTGTTAATTCTTATCTTAGCCAGATGCAAAGACTAATTTTTACATTTTTTGTAATTTGTCAATATTTAATTTTGATTGTTTTCCACACATGCCCTCTTCACCCAAACATTTAAATTTTTACTGTCCATATTTTCAGATATTTATGTAATTTCATCTTTATTTATATTCAAACCTTTCAGTCCATTAATGTTGATATTTGATATAGAGTAAGAAATCTAGTTTTTTTCCCTTTCTCCCTCTCTCCCTTCTTCTCCTTTGTCTCACTTCCTCTCCTCTTCCCTTTTCTTTTTTGTGTGTATTTTATGATTGCTTAACTAGTTGTCTGAACAATATTTGTTACATAATCCATCATTTCCACAATGATGTTACATTTCATTTTTTTAAATGTATTTATTTTAATTGTTGTTCAAGTAGAGTTTTCTGTCTTTTACTCCCATCCCAGCCCACCCCCCAGTGCTCCCCAGCTACCTCCCATTCTCACCCCTCTTAGTTGTTGTCCATGTGTCCTTTATTCTTGTTCTTGTAAACCCTTCTTCCCCTTTTCCCCTGAAATTCCCTCCTCTCTCTCCTCTGGTCCCTGTCAGCCTGTTATCTATTTCAGTGTCTTTGGTTACATTTTGCTTGCATTTTTATCGTAAGTTATTCAACTTGCAGTCCTGTACACCTCTTCCACTGAAAAACCTATAGATTCTGGAACTAGTACTAATTTATTTCTGTAATTTAATAGAATGTAAATATGTAATTTCCTAGTAGATAAGTCCTCTTTATTATATAACTTAACTTTTCTTGGTTATCTATTCTTCCAAATTAACTTTCTAACTCTTATTAAATTTCCAAAACAAGCCTAAAAATACTTGGTTTTTTGACTTGGACACCAGCCTGCGGTGTCCACGTCATTATGGATGAAATGAGACATTTACAGGGACTACCGAGTCCTATGGAGGAAAAGGGCAAGCATGGTTTTTTCTCTCAAGGGGAGCAAAAGCTGCATGCAGCCCTTGTGGTGACTGGCCTTTACTGGGTTTCTTGGCACATTACCTGATGGTTCTTATTTACTATGCACAGGTTGCTTTAGGTGATTACCTTTTACAGAAAACAAAGGAGCCAATGCTGCTAATCACATCACAGAAGAGGGATATTTGCAAATGAAAAGGGCAAAAGTAGTTGAACTGGTTTCACTTGTCCTTGGAAGGTTTAGCATGGATCTTAGGAAGTTATTTTGCAGTAAATGTTTGCCACTGGGGGCTGGGCTCACATCATGCAGAATGGTCTACAGTTTTTTAAATTATTGGAATTTATTTCAGTGATCAGCTACCTATAATATTTAGTTTTTTAAAGAACTTTCTAGTCATTTAAGTTCCTTACTAGACAGTTGTATGTAGTTTTTTCATATAGGTATTATGCATGTCCAGTCAACTCTTTTTTCCTTAGGTGTAACTTTTCCTTTCTTTTATGAGATATTTTTCTAATATATTTTATAACTTGTTATAATCGATATATATATATATATATAAGATATTAACATATTTTCTATAACTGCTAACCTTTTCTTAATAAGAATAGACATTTAAAATGTTTTTCTCTTGGGCAATTATGTTCTCTATAAATTTTGGAAATTTGTTCCTTTCTAATTTTTGAATGTTCTTTTATTCAAAAGAACAGAAGTTTTATAACAGTGTTGAATAATACCATCTCTAGTGGGCATTTTGTATGTTTTTTGTAAAGGAACTTGTTCAAATCTGCTGTATAACAATGGCATGCAGTTTACCTCACTCCCAAAAAAACTGGATAAAAAGAATTTCTACTATAGCCCCTGTATGTTGGAATGAAAGGTTACAGGCTCATAATCAGTAATTCAATAGGCAAAAGGAATTGTTTTCATTTGAATGATGATTTTGATATAATAAATATCCTGTGTGTTCTTTTTATGTCTCTATGTATTTCTTTTGGCCTCTAAAAAATCCTTAAAGTAGTCCTATGCATAAGGTGATATTAAATAAGCCCATTTTGTTTTTGTAATGATTATAATTGATTGGAGACTTCAATATGCTTTTGTAAACTTTAAGTTTTATGCTATTAGTTCAAAACATAGGCATGAATACATTCTTTAGATTTTGGTTTAAAAATTTTATAATATTTTATTATATTTATAATATATATCTAAGGGTAACTCTAAATATTTTAATATATTAAGGCATCTTTGATTTTTTTTTTTTAGTGTCTTAGCAGATGAAGTTAATTCACCATTATCACCTTTCTCATGGAAGGTAAGAGGGTATTAAATTACTATTATACCTAATATTTTGTCTTCATTTATTTACTTAAAAGAAATTGTCCTATTACAGCCCTTAGAAAATCAGAAGGATCAAACAGATGAACAACGGTGGCCAGAATCTCAACCTATAATTTGGCATAGTGAAGAAAGGAGGCGGAGCAAACAGATTAGAAAAGAATATTTCAAGGTACTTTAAATCATAAAATTTACTTTGAAATGAGTTTTCATTTTATCAGTTTTATTTTATGTTAATAAGGTAGAGTATAACTCATTACATATAGTAAATGTGTTATCTTTATTTCCTACATGTATGTGGTACAGATAATGTGACCCAGTTATATCTATATTTCACTAATGCAGAATAATTAATAATGAGTAGGTCAGTCTGAATTGTGGTTTACCAAATTCTTTACAAGAAAGATGTAATGTTTTCTACACTGCTAGTTGTAACAATATGTGGTAATGTTTTAAAAGAATTACCCCCAAAAGGTCTTCATTGGATTTCAATAAATAGTTGACAATTAGCATATAATTGTTTTTATGTAAATAAATGTTATTTATATAGTTTTACAAAAGATTAAAAGTGTTTTCCCTGCCATTTTATTATCTTCTTATTAGTAGATTTCATAAGGTGGTCTTTTAACTAAATTAAAAACTGAAAGCATCTGAATTATCCCACATTTCTAGTTAGCATAGTTTTAATGAAATTTTACTGTGCAGACCTTTGTAAATATTATTTATTTGTGGTCTTGTTACCGAACAGAGGTCCGGGGGGGCAATATTTGGCTCACCCAGGGATGCCAAAAAAACTGCTACAGAACAACAGGGGCCCCTCTTAAGGACGGTATACTAATACCTACTGGGCTCATCTGTCCGCTGCCAATTGGAAAGACATCTCTCAATGCCAGAGATGCCTTTTCCTTTGTGAAAAGGAAATAAAATGTTTATTTAATGCTATTCAGGCCTAACGCCTCCATTAAAATATCAAAGTCCTTTAGGGTATACGCCTGCACACACACACACACACACACACACACAGAGGTCCCTTCTCCCACTGTCCCATCTCAGTACCGTAAATCAGGAAAAGAGCACACGTCCGTTTTTCCAGGCTGCTGGTATCGTCTGGTGTGTTGACTGTCCAGGCAGGATCTCCAGTTAATCCAAAGTCATGTGGCACCCTTTCACGGTCCACTGGCAAGAGTTCTTTGTACCCATTTTTCCAGGCAAAGTCTCTCCTGCTTTCCACGCCATGTGGCCAAAGGGGGCACCCCAAAGCTGCATGCGTCTCTTCTACCAAAGCTGCAGGGGTCTGCACTCCACCAAAAGCATGTGGCTTTCTTCTTCACCTGGCTGCCAGGGATCTCCATTCTGGCAAAGCTGCATGGTTTTCCCTTTCACCTGGGAAAGAGGGGGTCTGCACTCTGCCAAAACCACGTAGCTCCTTCTTTCATGTCGCCAAGAGGGGGTCCTCACTCTGGCCCAAACCGCATGGCTTTTTCTGAATGGCTGCCATGTCTGGGTTTAAATCCCTGCACCAATCTTCCTCTGTACCCCTATTTCTGACTCCTCCCACCAACAGTTACACCTGCCAGTATTTCTTTATTATTACAAGTTTACTGGGCTGCCATTGTTAGTCTGGGCAGGTATGGTCCCATGTCCTAGAGCCAATCTTCTCCAAGCTCCCATGCAAGTGTTGTAACTTGGGGGACCTGCCCCCAGTTACATCTTGGGGGAAGTGACTTCATCCCCCTAGCTCTAAGCCTGGCCACAGCCATTTAACATATCCAAGTGACCCGCCAAAGGCTATAGATATGTTAAATGACCATGCCATGGATTAGCTGCAAGGCTGTGACTGTACAAAACAGCCCTGCATGTTCCTGCTCCATGTGTCCCTTCCTCCAACTCACATCTGTCGGGGGAAGGGGTGAAGACATCTTATATGTCTCTCCAATATTCCTATACACTTTGAGTTCTGGACAACATTTCAAATCTTTTTGGGGGGCTCCCCCTTGGCTGCACCCTGTATCAGTTTAGGTCTGCTGATTTTCAGATGCCAGTTATTGGAATTGGAATAATCTTTAGTACTAGTCAGAATCCACTATTGGAATTTCCAATTCAAATGAATAGTACAAACAAGCTCCTTGTCCATGAGTAGCAAATTCTCTTGTCTTACTGTACCTTTGTTGTTTACCAAAGCCTAATTTTCATTTAATAATATAATAATTTTGTCAGAATGCGTAGTTCTAAGCTAAATTATAGGTAGTAATTTGAAGTTTATATCACTAATAAATAGGAGAACATTTCATGTTTTTCTCTGTTTGCTAGCAGTGGGTCTTCATGCACATTGATCTGTTCCTTATATGGGATTATTAACATACATTTGGAAATAGCATCATATTACCAAAACAAAAATATTTAAATGTGAGAAGTATGTGATAAGTTTCATCCTTCAACAAATAATTACTGAATCTTTTTAATGAGCTTCATGTTACCTGTTCAATGGGAGAGATAATGAAGAAATAAAACACATAGGGAAAAAGAGAAGGGCATTCTAAGCAGAACCCTGGTCAGTAATGATGAAAGTCTATTTATCCCAACTTTTTACAGATCTGTAGTTAGATTAACATTCTGGTACTTATTTTAGAGCCTCTTCTTTTAGTTTATGGAGGCTTGAACAAAGGTGCTCCATAAAATTTGTTAATAGGTAAAAGTTAATGAATGACTAATGACATGGAGAAATTTTAGTATTTCAAACCAATAAAAGAAATTTTTTAAACTTTTTTTTACTGTTGTTCAAGTACAGTTGTTTCCATTTTCCCCCTACCATGCCTCCCAGCCCAGCCATCCCCACCTCACACCCTTGATCCTACCCCCCTTTGGTTTTGTCCATGTGTCCCTTATAGTAGTTCCTGAAAACTTCCCACTTTTTAATATTTATTTAATCTATTGGTATAGTAAAAGAATACAAAATCTATTTATCAAAACACATAGCTCCTAGTAAGTGCCAGGAAGTGTTCTAAATACTTTAAAAATATCAACACATGTAATCTTTGTAACAACCTTATGAAGTAACTACAATAATTACCATTTTTATTTTATAGATGGGGAAATTAAGGCACAGAGAGGCGAAGTAATATGCTTGAGGTCACGTAGCTAAGAAGCATTTAAGCATGATTTGAACCAAGAGCGTATACTACGCTGCCTGTTTACTTACCGTGGATAGCCTACTGTCAAATGAACAGTTTCAAATCAATACAGTTTTGTTGTTTTCTAAATATTTTACAGTAACTTAGGTAAACTTCTCAATAAAGTCTTAATAGAGGCTTCCGTGACCTCAGGTGTGGGGAGGGGTGGATAGAGGTGGAAGAGGGTATGAGGGGGATAAATGGTAATGGAAAAAATAAAATAAAAATTTCCTAAAAATAGGACTTCTGCCAAGATGGAGGCAAAAGTGGAAATACCGTGCTTTCTCACACAACCAAGTTTAAAGACAACAAAATTTTAGTACCAAAAAACGCAACCAAAACATAGAAAATTGAACTATAACTTCCAGCAACAATGAACCCTTCAGCCAGACCAGTAAGCGGGGTGGAGCCAGTGACTCTGAGTGAGGTTGCGAAGGAAGACTCAGTCAGACCAACCCAGGCGCCCAGTTGGTGGTTGGCGGATCCCAGGTGTGGGGTTGTGACGGGTGGACCCAGTGAGGGCACAAGGCGGCAGGCTGACCGAGGTCACACATTCGCGTGCAGGTAAACCAGCAAAGGGGCGAGCATTGAGACAGACCACGAAGGCCCCAGTGGCGGGAAGCAGCAGAGGGGATCGTTATTGCCCCGCTCGGACCCTGCCCCCACATACAGCATCACAAACCAGCGACCTGGGCGGCCCCAACCTGGTAAACACCTAAGGTTCTGCTCCTCATACATAACAGGCACAAACAGACCAAAACATGGCTCAAGAAGAACTCAAAGCCCCAGAACCCATAACTCTAAGCGACCAAGAAGTAGCCAAACTTTAAGATGCACAGTTCAAAACACTGGTGATCAGGATGCTCACAGAACTGGTCGATGTTGGTCACAAATTAGAGGAAAATATGAAGGCTAAACTAATTGAAATGAAGGGAAAGGCACAGGAAACCAATAGTGATGAAAAGGAAACTGGACTCAAATCAAGGGAGTGAACCAGAAGGAAGAAAAAAAATGGTCAAACAGGAAAATATGAAGAAACAAGAATTCAAAAAAATGAGGAGAGGCTTAGGAAACTCCAGGACATCTTTAAACGTTCCAACATCCAAATTATAGGGGTACCAGAAGGGGAAAAGGAACAGTCACAAGTGGAAACCTTATTTGAACAAATAATAAAAGAGAACTTCCCCATTCTGGCAAAGGAAATAGACTTCCAGGAAATCCAGGAAGCTCAGAGAGTCCCAAAGACTCTCATTGTCCCAAAGACATCATAATTACATTAGCCAAGATTAAAATGAAAGAGAGAATCCTAGAAGCAGCAAGAGATAAGAGGACAGTCACCTACAAAGGAGTTCCCATCAGATTGTCAGCTGATTTCTCAAAAGAGACCTTACAGGCAAGAAGGTTCTGGAAAGAAGTATTTCAAGTCATGAAAGGCAAGGACCTACATCCAAGGTTGATCTATCCAGCAAAGCTTTCATTTAAAATGGAAGGGCAGATAAAGTGCTTCTCAGATAAGATCAAATTCAAAGAGTTCATCATCACCAAGCCCTTATTATGTGAAATATTAAAGGGATTTATCTAGGAGGGAGAAGATAAAAAATATGAACAGGGAAAGGACAGCAAACTCACAGTTATTAACAACCACATCTAAAACAAAAGCAAACTAAGCAGACAGCGATATCAGCAGAGGAACCATAGAAATGGAGATAACATAGAAGGTTAGCAACTGGGGAGTGGGAGGGGGAGAAGGGGGAAGAAGGTACAGAAAATAAGTAGCATAGACAGTAGGTAGAAAATAGATAGGGGGAGGGCAAGAATAGTATGGGAAATACCGAATCTAAAGAACTTGGGACACATGGTCATAAAGTAAAGGGAGGGAATGGTGGGGGAGGGGTGTGCAGGGTGGAGGGGAATGAATGGGGGAAATAGAACAACTGTAATGGCATAATCAATAAAATAAAATAAAATAAGAAATGCAAAAAAAATCCTAAATAAATAAAGA